ATGATAACAGTTCTCATTGTCATTTTCTCCCTTCTCCTGAAGTTCAATTACATAAAAATCTTATATAGCCTGAAATCTACTAGCAGAATGATTCATTCACAGTGTTCATCTTCTTTTTCTTTTTTGAGACAGACTCTCACTCTGTTGATATGCAGTGGCGCAGTCATGGCTCACTGCAGCTTCGACTTCCTGAGCTCACGTGATCCTCCACAAGTAGCTGGGACTACTACAGGTGCATTCCGCCATGTCTGGTCAAGTTTTAAAATTTGTCTGCAGAGATGAGGTCTTGCTATTGGGTCTCATAGAGATGGGGTTGCCCAAGCTGCTATCGAACTTCACGGCTCAAGTTCCTAAGGAAAAGATCCTTAGGAAAGAGTGAAGAATCTATCTCAGCCTGTGTATGTGCACATGCATAAGCAGACACATGCATGGACACTCATGCTCTCACTCAGTATGTTCCCCAAAATTATTCTTTTCTAGTAGCTATAAAATAATTTTATAATCAGTCAGCCACGAAATAATAGTAGGATAGTAGGATAATGAAATAATTATGAAAAGTATGTCAGAGATAAAACTAGAACTTGAAATTTCCCCCAAAACTGTAAAATAAACTAAACTTTCATAGGCTTCAACGAGAAAAACAAAACAAAACAAAAACAAAAAACAAACACCACATATTTCCTTTGAGAAACTGCACAATTGGCTTCTTAAGGTGTAAGTTTTGTTACAGAACTCAATATATGCTCAATAATTCTATTTCTGTGACCATCTCCTTCTATGCTAAGAGATGTAGCTTTTGTTTAAAGGTTTTTTTTTTAAATAAGGCTCTGAGATGAGGTTCTAGGGAAACAAAATACAAGTCTAAATTCAGTCAGCCCTTGTTTATGTAGCATGGAGCAGATTAATAGGCTTTTAGTATTATTTGTTGTTAAAGTTCAGTGGAGATCTAGACTAACCAGCTCCCTTCCCTGCTTAGCTTAGAAATCGGCCAGCAGCTGGAAACAGGCTTCCTACAGAGGAGAGTGCAAGAACCAACTTGTCTACAACTACAATGACTGAGTGTATGTATAAGTGTGAGGAAGAGAGTGGTGGGTGGTCTTTGGAGCCCTAGCTCTAGAACTGTCTCTTACTACACACCAAGAAATTCCACTTCCAAGATGTACCTCCTTTCCTTCCAGATATAGTTGGTGGTAGAATAATGTGGTAGTAAGCAGAATTACTCAGTTAGGTCTTGTTTTGTGAAAAATTGTTTTTTTACCCTCATAGAACTCACTACAATTTTGTTTCAACTGATTTATCAATAACCTATTCTGGTGCCAATGATAGATTAAACAAGAAGTGAATGTATACATATTAATGTTTGCATGTAGAAAAGCAATGATATGGTCTTCCGTAGTCCATTTTCCTTCTATGGTTTCATGAAAACCAATGAGAATTTTTTTGACCCAGGAAAATATGTAACAAATGTGATTGTATACGAAATAGCAACAGATATGCTGGATACTTATCTATGTTTCTAAACGATGGCAGGAATTTTCATACTATGGACACACTTTTACTGTAACCTTTCTGAACCTGTTTGAAAACTTCTTTAAAGGATATACTGAGTGAACAAACAACTCAACACTAAGAAAACAAATAATCCCATTAAAAAGTGGGTAAATGACATGAACAGACATTTCTCAAAAGAAGACATACAAATGGCCAGAAGGTATATGAAAAAATGTTCATCATCCCTAATTACCAAAGAAGTGCAAATCGAAACCACAGTGAGCTATCATATTACTCCAGTTAGAATGTCTATTATTAAAAAGACAAAAAGACAAACAACTGCTGGTGAGGATGCAGGGAAAAGGACACTCTTTACACACTGTTGGTAGGAATGTAAATTAGTGCAGTCACTAGGGAAAACATATGAAGATTTCTCAAAAAACTAAAATAGAACTACCATATGGTCCAATAATTCCACTCCTGGATATTGTTCCAAAGGAATAAATCTAGGAGTCAGCATATCAAAGAGATACCTACACTCACATGCTCATTTCAGTACTATTTACAACAGCAGAGTCAAGTACTCAACTGGTATCCATCAGGGGACCAATGGATACATACAATGTGGTATATATACACAATGGAATACTACTCAGTCATAAAAAGAATAAAATCCTGTCATTTGCAGCAATATGGACAGAAGTGGAGATCACTATGTTAAACAAAACAAGCCAGGACCAGAAAGACAAAAATAACATGTTCTTACTCATGTGTTGAAGCTAAAAAAGGTGATTCCATGGAGATAGAAGAATGATAGATAATAGAGGATTGGGAGAGTGAGGGATGGGGAATGAGGAGAGGTAGGTTAATGGGTACAAATATACAGTTAGATAAAAGATATACGTTCTATTGTTTGACAGCAGAGTAGAGTGACTATAGTTGGCAACAATGTATTGTATATTTCAAAGATGCTAGAAGAAATAACTAGAATTGTTCCCAACACATAGAAATGATAAATATTTAAAGTGATAGATACCTCAAATACCTTGACTCAATCATTACACATTCTATGCATGTAACAAAATAAATATTTGCCCCATAAATATGTAAATTATGTATCAATTAGAAATTCAAAAAAGATACACAAAGAAAATTTTTTTATAAAGATATACTGAGTAGGGCCAGGTGCAGTGGCTCATGCCTGTAATCCCAGCACTTTGGGAGATCAAGGCAGGTGGGTCATCCGAGGTCAGGAGTTCAAGACCAGCCTGGCCAGCATGGAGAAACCCCATCTCTACTAAAAATACAAAATTAGCCAGCCATGGTGGCTCATGCCTATAATACCAGCTACTCAATTGTAATCTTGGAATTACCTGCCTGTAATCTCAGCTACTTGAGGAAGGACAATTGCTTGAACATGGCAGTGATTACCATGAGCCAAGATCTTACCATTGCACTGTGGCCTGGGCAACAAAAGCAAAACTTTATCACACACACAAAAAAAAGATACACTGAATTAAGTTGGTGGATTGCCCAGGCACTCAATTAATCAGTATAAAGCCATTTTTATATTATAAATTACAATCTCTGTATTTTTTGTTCACTTTTTTGCCAAGTTAAATACATCATTAGTCAATGATGTTAGTAGAATTGGCTATTAGGAGAGATGGCTGAAAATTCAAAGAATAATTGTTTCATCATGATGCTCAGATTCACTGACTTTTTAATCATCTCCTTTATAGGCGCTATCCAAGGATTTCTAATTAAATTTATGACCTTGTACTGAAATTACATCTTGAAACTCTTTATGTTTACTCATATAAGTCTAGCTATTTTTTAATATTTACTTTTCCTTCATAGTCTTCTTTGGTACTGTAAGAGGAGATGCTTTATTTAAGAAGTTAATTAACTAATGCAAAATTTACTCCTATTATCTTCATATTTAATTAAGACTTTCTTATTTATGTCATCATCTTAGCAAGGACTACATGTATTCTAGAATGTTGGCTTCTTATCTATTTCCCTTAGCTTTTAAACATAATAAACTACTTAGATTCTTTATTCAGTATTTCAGATCTCCTTTCTTTCACGCCACAAAAGATAAATTCACACTGCTGCACTGACAACATCACAGCTTTGAAAATGTGTCCACCCGATACCTTATAAATAGTTCGGTCACTTACTTTAATCCATCTTCCTCTGTCCATCACTCTAATGTCAAACTTACAAGTTTAAGAATGCACTTTTCTCAACTTCCAGGTTTAAAGCAAGAGTCCAAAAGCCTATTCACTTAACTAACACACACTGACAGAGGTATCATTTTGACTGACAAAATGCCAATCATTGAATATTCTCATTTGGGAATATTTGATAATGGTGTCCTGGCATTGCCGTTTTGATGAATATTCAATGCTAACAATGGCAAAAGTCCACCTCTCCTAAAAGGTGTATAAGTCAAAAGGGCTGAGTGATAACTTGTCCATCTTCACAACTCTGTGTGTTTTCAGTATTTCAGTATAATTATCCAGTATCTATACCAGATAATTAGTTACATAGTTCTGGTGGTTCAACCTAGATAATAATTTTTTTTTTGTTTTGGCTATTTCTTTCACTTATCCTAGCCAAGTTTTTCTTTATTTAATATTATCCTTTCAGGACCCATAGCTTTGTGTTTATTCAGAGCAGAACTAAAAGAAAAGAAACTCATAGCATCCACAGATCAGAATTTCTAGAGAGAGAGGAAAGTCTCTGAAGTGCATAGAACTCACCGTGAAGAAAATGGATTTTTTTTATATCAATCCAGGATTTAGAGCCTAAGTTTAAAACTCTTTGATTTGCCTTAAAGTTAATAGGGGACTCTCAAGTGAGCTGAAACAGGCACTAAGAAGTTGATTTGTGAATTTTATCATTTTACCAATTCCTCTGTTTTAGAAGGGTAATCAGAAATGATTGTTTGTGGATATCTGTAGGTTACATGTAAGAAATTTGCCCCAACATGCTTTCTAAGCATCACTGCCTTCTAAGACTTGCAGAACACTTAGCTTTACTTTCCAATGTGCACTTTTCTTTTTACTTGTGAGATTCCCGTGTTGCAAACCAGAGATGAGGTTGAGAGTTACAGTGTAGATTCTATTCACAGAATAGCTGTTTCAACTAATAAACTAAATTTGCATTATCCTATCTCCCAAGGTAGAGTTCTACCTCCATCATAATTCATTTGGAATCACCAACAGTCTGGACTAGAATCAATATTTCTCAATACTGACTTCAGACGCGTAAGTTGATTTTATAGCAAAAATCACAAGTATTTTCAGCTACAACTTCATCATAAACCATACTAGTGCAGTTATAAGCATCTACACTTAAAATTGCCACATCTCAAATAAGTTTTCTGTTCCAAAAGTCCACCACAAAAAATAAGTGCAATTCCACTTTCTTTTAATCAATGAATATAGAACTAAATATCTACCTCTTAACATAAAAATATTAATACTGCCCATCGTACTCACATGGCACCGTGCGGAGGTAGAGGTTGTCACGAATGATTTGCTGAAGCTCGTGGTCAACAGAACCCTTTTGAAATCGTAAGTTGAGGTAGTGACGAAGGTCTTTATCAACAATTCCTCCTAAAACAAAAAAGTTTATTAGTAAGGAATATTGGAAAATATGTTAAGTATGTCATTTTATTCTGTCGTCCATATACTCAGGAACACATTTAAAAGATGCATTATTTCAAAGTGTTCTTTTGATCTTCTGAAACTTTTACTGCCATAATAATAATAAAGATAATATGTACGGAGATAATGATTGCCTGCCAAGTTCAATGCTTTGCATGTATTCCTTAATTTATCCTTCATTAAGAATATAGCCTATATCGTGATAAAAGAAACGTTACTCCGGACTCATACTGAAATATTATAGTATATCTCATTGCATAAGTAGAAACTATAATACTTGCCCTTTTGTGACTGGCTTATTTCACTTAGCTTAATGTCTTAAAAGTTTGAAAAGAGTTTTAAGTTAATTAAAGTTGCTCTAGATTTAGTTAAGCAGGATGGTAAAAGTTAAAGAAGAAAAACCTACACAAGTATTGATGATTTTACTCCCTTTACACAAGAAATACAAAAGAGAGAAAAATAATTTCTCTCTTTTGTATTATATGTACAATTTTTTTTTTAACAAGAGACAAGTTTTGAAAGAATGCAGGGTTTTTTTTTTTCCTTTTTCCAATACAAACAATTTTGGGTCTGTTTGCCCTTATAATCTAATAAAAAATAAAACAGGCTACAGTTAAAAAACCAATAATATAGATCCATCAAATACTAACTTGATATTTAAAGATAACTGTGTTAACATACAGATTTATCTTAAAACCTTTCCTATTTCCATACTGGAAAAAGTTAATTATAAATCAAAAAACTAGTAAAAGTGTAAGTAAGAATTCCTGAAACTCTTACTATTTCAATCAAACATACTAGGACAATTGAGCCACGACAAATAAAGATAAAGGAAATAGGAAATCTGTAATAATTATAAAAATTATGTTCTCTTCAAATCCTTTTGAATCTCAGAATTAGAATTCACAAAACTATTGGCACTACCATGATCACACAAACTTGCATTACGTAGGTATGCACATGAGCAAACAAACACCTTTTATACAGACAGTAGCTAATAAACTTATATAGTGTAACATTTCTGGCGTTTTCAAAATCTGCCATTTCAGTGCCTCCTAATCTGCAGGTATAGTCTCAATAAGATGCCATTTTTAACTGCGAGATGGAATTTTTAACCGAATTAATTCTCAAAATTCTTACCTTCAAGATGTTGCTTCTTTCATATTTCAGCAAATGCTCTCTTAATCTATTTTTTTATCCAATATAATATGATAGGGGAAATCAAATGACATACAAAGAAAACATTTTCTGTTGGGTGTACATAAATATTACATCCAGAATGACTAACCATATAATTTGCCAAATTCAAACCCATTTTCTCAGCCAAAGAAGCAGAGCAGTCAGAGATAAAAGTCATTTGAAACTGCCATTACACACAATTCCAACAATTGCCTATTATTTGCATTTCCAAATGTCCCATGTTTCCATGTGTCTTGGACTTGCTGCCTCCACACTGAAGTAGTTAATAGTCTAGAAATCCTGAAATTCTCTTTTTCTTCTTTTTTTTCAGACAGAAATACTTACTCTTGCTAATTTATCACACCTACTGAGTAAGCATCACGCCTGTGACTGTTCACAACTGTCATTTCTGCCAGATTCTCAGGCTACAGGTCCTTTGGCAACTTCACCCCTCTTCCTTCTTCTTTTCTTTCAATCTAATATGTGGGACATACCAAGTGATGAGATGCTTTCTGGCAGCCTAAGAAAACGCCAACGATAGAACAACAGATGTAGTGTCTTCATTAAGGTAAGCCAGAATCACTCACCTAATGTAACATGGGTAAGTTCACATTTTGTAGTTCAGGATGATTCTTATCCCTACAAATATATTATCAGTTTAAACCTTTTTTTTTTCTTTACTACAAATATACTGAATTACATTTCTTGAAAGTTTTTCTACCTAAGAAAACAACAAAAAAGTCAATGTATTCATTTCAATGACTGTATCTTTTTCTTTAATAGAAGGACCTGTCAAAGCTTTTAAGAATCAATATAAAATTTCCTTCACTAATTAAAATGACTGTCATAAATTATAACAAAATTCCACATACAATACACTTTGTTTTGGAAGGATTTCTCTTGCCTCCTGTTTCTCAAATGCTTTGTCATCCTTTACCATTTATCATAGCATCTTTCAAGTCAGGCAATTTTATTAATCCAGTATTCTTATAGCAAACTCTGCTAGTTGCCTACCCAATATTCTTTCTGTTATTCTTTTCTTTTAAAAGAGCTCTGATTTAGTTTTGAGTAGAAACATGCTGGGCCTCAGGACATGGATCACAGTGGTCTGAAAAGTCATTCAATCATTCCCCACTTTCCTAACTGCCCTTGCAGCTTCTACCAGTAGATTCTGGCCACTGGCACCTAGCACAGAAGGAAATGGAAATGATACCTGAGGTGTAGCAGCCATATTCTGACCATGAAGTGAAGTGACTGGCACAAGGAAAAATCTAACATGCTCAGGATACTGGAGTAGAGGTTAGAAACAGCCTGCATCCCATGTGGCTTTACTAACCAGCTAAAAACAATGTCAGTAACTACACAGCTTAAGATTTCTTGTTATATGAGAAGAAGTAAACACTCACTTAAGTAACTATTATGGTTAAGTATTCTTTTTTTTTTTTGAGACGGAGTTTCGCTCTTGTTACCCAGGCTGGAGTGCAATGGCGCGATCTTGGCTCACCGCAACCTCCGCCTCCTGGGTTCAGGCAATTCTCCTGCCTCAGCCTCCTGAGTAGCTGGGATTACAGGCACGCGCCACCATGCCCAGCTAATTTTTTTTTTTTTTGTATTTTTAGTAGAGACTGGGTTTCACCATATTGACCAGGATGGTCTCGATCTGTTGACCTCGTGATCCACCCGCCTTGGCCTCCCAAAGGGCTGGGATTACAGGGTTAAGTATTCTTTTTAAAACTAATATAGTTGAACCACTGTACATAATCTTAAAAACACATATATATACACACACACACATATGCATATATATATATATATATATATATACACACACACACACACACACATATACATAGACATAAAGGTATATTTATCCTTAATTAGAGATTTCAATTAGAGAGAAATTAAACCACAGACATTGAACAATCATGTCCTGAAAATTAGAGTCTGATTCTAATTTTAAGGCAAGCTAAAAAACAGGGTTCCAAATAGTGTACAATAAATATTATCTATTGTCAAAATAAATAAGTAATTTGCTATCTTATTTACCATAGTTATAAATTTTTTATTTCACTTTTAGTGTTTGTAGAGTTTCTGTTGTATCATTTGTTAATTATTCCTAGATTTGGTAGCTCATAGGACTCACACATCAATCATTTTGTTGAGCAGAGCCCTGTCAACGTTAATGTCTCATGGCATGCTTTAGCCATTTGTACTTTTCCTTCAAAAAATTCAGTGGCTCTTACTTGCTATTATATTTGAATAACTATTGACTTATTTAGTTATGTGAAAAGGTTTTCATTTTCTTTATTTTAAAAAATAAGACTGTAGACAAGTATTAAATGCCTTCTCAAATTACACTTTTAGTAAATGAGAGAGCTGGAAAGGATTTGAAGCCTTCAATTCCAAAAACATGTACCTAATTTTCATGCTCTACAGTCTGAAGACCAAACTTCTTAGTACAAAGCAGTCAAGTCCTTTCTCAACAGGACCCCAATCAAGCTTTTGAACTTAACATCAAAATATAACTTAAGAAGAACCTTTAAAAATAGAGTTCAGCTCCAACTCTTCCTATTGCAAACAAGGAAAGTAAAGCTCACACAAAACGTATGGTACTGGGTGGGGAGTGAGGGAAGCAATGAGGAGCAACATCTATGATCTATTTCAGGAGCAAACGCCAAGTGCCAACATTCCAAACTGGTGTGTGCATTTCTAAGGTTTCCATCATTTTCAGAAATGCCCTCAGTAAACATCGACTGCTTTGTCCTTTCTGTGACTTGCATTCCTACACTGAGAAAATGAAGGAAGAAGATGCTGGTTGGATTAGATAGACAGAATCTCCTTGGCATATTTCTTAAGGCAATTTGTTTTCTCCAGCTGTGTAGCAAAAGCCACTCTCAAAATTTGAGGGAGAAACATCCTAGGGTCTATAATGTTTGGGCCAAGGGTCTGGTTGCCAGTAGTCCCTTCTAGCAAAGTAGAGTCATCCCTCACTCAGACATGACCATCAGCTCAACCTTCCCTCCTCTTGAGTCAACTGCTTCTGGAATGAACATGTACCTTATACATTTTTTCAGTGTAAACTGGGGGATAGTAAGGGGTTAAGTACAGAGGGGAAAGGTGGAGGTGAGGACCAGAGTTTGGCTCATTTTGATGTCGTCTCGTTATCCTGTGCTTCAGTCAAAGCATTCATGTTCTAATTATATTATTCATTTATGTTTGTTTTTCAGTCGTACTCCACAAAATACTGTGGTGAATATTTAATTTAGTTTGTTTGTCCTTGAAGTTTTGCATTCAACTTTGCTCTTTTTTTTTTGAGACGGAGTTTCGCTCTTGTTACCCAGGCTGGAGTGCAATGGCGCGATCTCGGCTCACCGTAACCTCTGCCTCCTGGGTTCAGGCAATTCTCCTGCCTCAACCTCCCGAGTAGCTGGGATTACAGGCACGTGCCACCATGCCCAGCTAATTTTTTGTATTTTTAGTAGAGACGGGGTTTCACCATGTTGACCAGAATGGTCTCCATCTCTCGACCTCGTGATCCACCCGTCTCGGCCTCCCAAAGTGCTGGGACTACAGGCTTGAGCCACCGCGCCCGGCCTGCTCTTTTTTTTTTTTGAGATGGAGTTTCGCTCTTGTTACCCAGGCTGGAGTGCAATGGCGCAATCTCTGCTCACCGCAACCTCCGCCTCCTGGTTCAGGCAATTCTCCTGCCTCAGCTCCTGAGTAGCTGGGATTACAGGCATACACCACCATACCCAGCTAATTTTTTGTAT